GGGAGCCCGATGCGGGACTCGATCCTGGGACTCCAGGATCATGACCTGAGCCGAAGGCAGTCGCTTAACCAACTGAGCCACCCAGGCGCCCTATATCCTACCTTCTTGACAGTATTTCTTAATTCTAAGAATCTGCCCCATCATCAACTCTAATTATGGACTTTGTAAGTCAGATAATTAAAATCCACTTTTAAGTCTGACAGGGAACTGTCAGACTACCTGCTTAGTCCAATCCACTCTGTTCTGTTGTTTTTTTATTTTGGACTATATAATCTCATTTTTATAAACAGGAAAATTAATGCCCAGAAAGGTTAAGAGACTTGCCAAAAGTTATCTAGCAGTAGCAGCGTCTTGGCCAGTCCATGACTAAAATTAAACATGGAGCCTTCCCACTTAAAGACCTCCCCCCATCCAGACTTCCACACTGTGGTTTATGAGGACAAGTCAAACACTCAAAACACTAGTTTTGCTTCTCCTTGTTATCACCCTCCACAGCAGTGCTGTGGACTCCCTTCTCAAGTTGCACTGCGTTTATTGCCATTTTTCAATTCCCCCTCCTGCTATCCTAGGTTAATCCTTCATTATTTCTCTTGGAAATCCAGTGTTAGCCTTCTCCCCAGCTCACTTCCAAAACCATCCTTGCCTCTTGTTAGCTCTGAAGGGCTCCTGATTTGAGGGCAGATGTCTCTGTAGAGTTGGTAAGACCCTTCCTTCCAAGAGAGTCCACTTGATTAATATGGCCTAGTCTAATTGTATTTAGACATGTGGCTGCCAACTCTGGATTTGTTCCTCACATTTATTCCTTTGATCACATTATTATGGAATAACTTTTCAATTTGAATTAGTTAAATAAACACAGGGAACTTATTTACTAATCTAGACAAAAAGTTAAAACACTAAATTTTTAGAGGGGACAGTTCCCAGGATCACTCAATGACATTTTGGCATTTCTGCCACTGTTCGTTTTTCAACAGTCTCAAGATTGAAATGATAGGATATTGATTCAAGAGGAATTTTGGAAAGGACATATTCTGATGCTTCCTTCTGACCAGTTTCTTTCTCCTCATCTCCCTTTCCAAATATCAGAGAAGAGATTTTTCTAAGAAAGTTCCTATGGCAAAATAAGAAATAAAGAAAAACTAAAGAAAACCCACCTTTCAGATGTTTTGATAACATTGATTTACCTGAAATGTCATGGTGAAAATTGATTATCAGATAAGGATTTATTTTCCCTCCCCCAGCTCTTTTCTCATTAAATGGGAATCAGGGTACAAGGGAGTGGTGAAAAAAGTGAATCAAGCTACTGGCCCTTATTTTAAAATTGGAAAGGGCGTCTGGGTGGCTCAGTTGGTTAAGCGACTGCCTTCGGCTCAGGTCATGATCCTGGAGTCCCTGGATCGAGCCCCGCATCGGGCTCCCTGCTCGGCAGGGAGTCTGCTTCTCCCTCGGACCCTCCCCCCTCTCATGTGCTCTCTGTCTCTCTCATTCTCTCTGTCTCAGATAAATAAATAAAATCTTTAAAAAAAATTGGAAAGTGACATTTTGATTTCAAAGACTTGCAAATGTACAACTGACCAGTGTGTCTGGAGGTAGTATAGGTGGGCATTTGTCCACACAACAGCTATCTGAAAAACTGCTTATCTGAACAAAGCCAACTAAAAATACATATTCTTCCTCCCACCTTCCCCTGCCTTTTTTTTTTAACCAAGCAAGCTAGTTAAATTTGCTGGATTTGCTGAATTTGTATCCAACTGAATTTGCTGGAAAATTTGAAGTTTTTAGCCAACCTAAAAGTTCTGGAAAGAAGAGTGCATATGAACTATCATTTTATCCTCCTCTGATTATCTCCCCTTTAGGAGGCTCAGCTTAAATTATCAAGCCCCTTCTAGTTTCTCCAATGCTTAACATGTCCCTGGCCCTAATAAGGATAAAAGCAAAGCACTCTAAATGGGAAACCTCTCTAGGTATTTATCAAATCTCCAAATGGCAATGGCTTCAGCTTCCTGAGTGCCTGAGCCCTGAAGGGAATGCCATCTTTGACATAAACTAAGCAAGATGCCAAAGGATCTCTTGTAGTTTTTCTTTTTTCCTTTTTCTTTTCTGAGTGGATGTTAGAAGACAAAAAGAAGAATCAGAGATTGTTTTTAGAGAGAGAAATCATCACAGTCATTCCTTTAGACAAGTCCCTTGTGATTTATTTTTTTCTAAATGACTATTCGAATATTTTTATACTTCCCTTGTAGTTATAATTTAATATTTGTCAAGTGACCTCAATTGGTAAGTAGCATGGTATGAATTTCCTCTTTCAGACTATTAACACTTCCACATATAACTTTAGATACTTAAATGATTTTGCGTGGCTTTTTCAGTGGCCCCAATAAAGTCTTTCAGAATTTTGTTACAAAATCATCTAGATTTTATACCAGCTTAAAAAAATATTCTATACTTACACTTTTACCAGTTATATAAGAGTGATTCTAAGCTTCTTCCTTTATTCAGTCATGTTCTTCCTTGTTTTCCAACTTTATAAATGGAATCAAAATAAGAATTTCAAATACCTTGATTCAGATATGGCAAACAAGCCAAATAAAGGTATTTGTTGATCTAATAAGATCTACTTTTCCCTTGAACCCTAGATTGTTTTGTGGACATTGTGGTGGGATTTGACATCTCAACTCATGAAAAAGGGCAGACTTTGCTTGAAGGTCAGTCTTGGATAGAAACCTACCTTCAAGACCTCTTACGTACCATCAGCTCCCTCAATGGGGTAAGCTGTGAGGTGGGCACAGAGACTCAAGTTAGCGTGGCTTTTCAAGTGACCAATGCCATGAAAAAATATTCACCCAAGTTTGAGATCTATAGTGAAAACATACTGAACAGCTTGAAGGATGTAACAGTTAAAGGACCATCTCTTCTCAACGCAAACCTCTTGAGTTCTCTATGGGATGCATTTCAGAATAAGTCAGCTGCTCGAGGAAAGGTAAGCTGGTTTTACTTTATCTGCTGGTCTATGGTTGCGATGACATCCTTTTTACTCAGTTTTCTTTTTGAATACTTTCCTAGGTGGTTCTCTTATTTTCAGATGGATTGGATGATGACATCGAAAAGCTTGAACAAAAATCTGATGAACTTAGAAAAGAAGGTATTGAGCATGGGGAAGAGTGGGAAAGGAGTGTTTACTGAGTTTATAACCTCAGAACTCAATTCTGGCTCTTAAGTTTTCAAGCACTCAAATAACCCTGAATTTGTCCACCAGTATGCACTTGGGAGAGCAGATGAGCTCTCAGAACATTCTGGCATCTACTTTTTTCTTCTTACACTATGTATGTGAAACAGCACTGAATATTAAGTCCTACCCTTTCCCTCCTAACAGTGTATGTCTTCTTCCTAAGCTTTCCTGGAGAATATTCCTGTATCCCTTGGCCCACATTATCTAATATTGCTACTTCTTTAGGGTCTGCAGAAGTGAACAGTGTATTTCTCCTTGACCAAGGAATAGAAGAATTGGATTATTTTCTTTTGACACTGTTAAAGTTTCCAGAATCTCAGGCATTGTTGGACAAGTCTACTCATATTTTGGAGTTTTCTAATTAGTTCCTTCCTTCAGACCACAGATTGCCAACCATGGTGCTTAGGAGTTTTTAAAGCATTGGCACTGGGCTTTTTGCTTTAGGAACAAATGCCCAGTCTGACTTATTGTCAGTTCTTACAAAATATGGGTCAGTGGAAGAAAAATGAACCCACATGTTCTGGTTTGACTAAGAATAGAAATACTTTCCTGTAAATGGATGCTATTGGTGCCCCCTTTCCGAGTAGTTTCCCCCATCCTCCAGCTACTGTGACTGTTCACTGCTAGAAACTCACAGGTTCTCCTTTCTCTGAAGAATTGCTGTCGACCAGTGGAAGCCATTCACCTGGAAGGTTACTCCCTACCCCACCCCTAGGCAGCAGGTAGAGTACATGGAATTGGACCTTACCTCAAAATGGCACCAGTTCTGTGGTATAATTTATGTTCCAGAGTTCCCCATGGGATCAGGCTGAAGCTAGTCTTCAGCTGAAACACTATCTTGCTCAGCTCCTTCCCCTGCCCTATCTTGCTTTCTTTACCCCTTCTTCAAAGAGTGCTTCCTCAATAAATTGTATGCATCCAAATCCCTTTCTCAGGCTCTGCCTCTGGAGAACCTGGCCTAAGACAGTTGCTTAGGTTGCTCCCAGGTTAGCTACTAGAAGCTAGGGGGATCTGTTCTGTTCTGTCTCCTCAATCTTAAACAAATTGCAAAATTAGCTATATTTATAGCTGAAAAGTAAGACTTTTTATTTTGCCCTTTATTTGCTAAAGCTGCTTTCTTTTTACTCTTTCAAGTCTTGGCGTTTTTTTTATGATCTATAGTGGAGATATTAATGAAGACTGAGAATAAGACCCTAGAGTGCTTAATTTGGGTGGGTAGGGTTTTGTTTTTTGGGGTTTTTTTTTTTTTCTTAAATAATTTAAGCTTTTCTTTTGTGGTGAAAAAGATGTATCTTCTGCACACAACATAAGAGTTTTCTCCAGGAAGTTTCCCTCAGAACACCCAGATTTCTAAGACCAACCTTCTTTTTCCCAACTCCCAAGGAAAAACTATTAAATGAGTTTCAACTTCAGAAGCTAGATTTTTAATATCCTCAAAAATTCAGAATCTCTGAATGGGAGAGATGAAGGCATGATGGCCATAATGTTTTTTGAAAAGTGTTAAATGGTTCTCAATATGGACAAGGAGTACCCCTAGCTCTGGCTTTCCATGTTTAAACATATATGATTTCAGTTGATGCTTGGCCCTATGATCCAGTAGCCTAGGAGAGCCTCCCTAATTTGGGGCCAGGTATCTATATGTATAAACTGTGCACTCATCATGAGACAAGAGGAGACCTGGAGAAAAGGATACTCAATGGTGGATGTGGCTTTTTAACTAATCCACATGGATTGGGGTTTGAATTCATTTAGTTTCTTTAAATCTAGTGCTCTAGAGTCTTCTCGGTGATTCTTACATTCTTTCAATTTTTGAAATATTTTCTTCCTTAATTTATTTTTAGGAATTGTATTTAAGATCTTTTGACTTATTATTGGATGAGTCTGAAAGGAGCAGGATCAGAGTCCCCCATCCTGAGGAAAGCAGTTACAAATAATAGTTATATGCATTATTTGCTGCAGATCAACAATCCCATGGTTCTCATAACTCTTACATTTTTACATTTCTTGGAACTTACAAGAAAAATCAGATGTGAGATTTCCCCCCTTATAAATAGATCTATTAGCATGCCTTCTCTTGATCAGTAAACTCTTTTGATGAGCTTAGCATTCCTCACTGTCTATCCCAGCCCACTCCACCGTCCCTTTTCTTCTTGTCATTCTCATTCCTAGAAGAGTGACTAACACCTTGTTTATTTGAGAGAAGCCAGAGATATCAACACTAAAATGAGGGAAGTCCTGGTAAATCAGGACAAGTTGGTCACCCTATTCTTTGGTGTTTCTTCATTTATTCCACTTCAGCCAACCTCTCTGTTTTCCTCTCCTAGAACTTGAGCCTCCCCAGTATGTCCCTGAAACTTTATTCTCCTCATTCTCTTCTTCCTCTCACCCAAAATCATTCATTCAGAATCATACATACACTTAAAAAACATTCTTAACTCTCGGGTCTGTGAACATTTCCTTGTTCTAGTCCATTGGCTTCCAAGTCCCATCTAAAGATGTCTTCACTCATCCATAATGAAATGAGGAAACTTATGCCAATAAAGCTAAGTTTATTCAATTTTAGGACTGCTGTTTACTCTGATTATGTCCTTAGTATACTTTTATTATTAAAATGTCTTTTGATTGTAGGCTTTGGAATCAGGCTGTCCAGGTGAAAAACTAAAAATACCACTCAAGCCAGTCAAATAACCTTTCCAAGCCTCAGTTCACTTATCTGTAAAATACAGCTATAATTCTACATATCCATACATTTGGATTTGTAGCTTACAAGTAAGCTAATGCATGGAAAGCACTTAACTGACTTCCAGGCACATAGTCACTATTAATAAATGAGAGCACAGTTGTTGCTGCGGTTACCTCCACCATAAGGATTGCCAGGATTATTACTGGTATCATTTCATGTTTATATCAATCAGTACTTTATAATTTCATGTTTGTATCAATACTTTGCTAAGTAAGTCAAACCCTTTGTTAGTCCCTTACAGATTTCTTTGAAATATTCTGGTCTATAATGGTCTATAAAATTCCAAAGTTTATGAGCTACAGCTCTGGATGATTATATGTCATTTGTTTCTAACTGCCTGACAAGAGGTCTCTTACGGTCTTACAGTCTCTTACTCTAATTCCAACTGGATTCTCAAATCCTTAAGAGGTCATTATAGCTGTGCTTCTCAAACTTTAATGTGCATATAAGTCATGTGGTGATTTTATTAAAATACAGATTCTGATTCTGTAGATAATTCTGTATTTCTGAGAAGTTCCCAGGTGATGTAAGTGCTGCTGTCCAAGGATCCCCCTTTGAATGGCAAAAATTTGGAACATTTGCTTTCTTGATATATCAGTTCTTCTGTATCTTAGTATACTCTATGGACCCTTTTTAAATCATTATATCTCACTTCAAGTCATCCAGGAACTGGAAGTTCTGTTGTAATATCCCCTGCCTCCAATTTAATTAGCTTTGAAAAATGTAATTCCTTTTGTTCTCTGATGATAGTCTTGTCACTTGTCAGTTTTACATTGCATGGTTGGGGGAAGTAGACAATAAAATGAGTGTTCCTCTTGCAACTGTTTTCCTAGAATAACAATTTAGATACATATGCAAAAAGATTAAAATAGCCAAAACCACCTTACCCAGAGAATTGTAAACTGTGTTGGATAGGCCTGAATGCCTTCATAACTGTTGCTCTGGATGGAGCCACCGATTCAAGTGACCTGGCTGATCTTCTCTACATTGAATTCGGGAAAGGGTTTGAGTACAGGATCCAGCTCACTACTGGAATGAGGGACCTTGGGAGCCGACTGTCAAAGCAACTGGTAAGTTACTTAGAAAAGGCTGGTGAGTTTAAATTTTCTATTTGTTTTGTATATAGATTTAGTATTTATGCTTACGAATTTGAACTAATTTTGTTCACTTGGGTGTGAGAAAAAGGCTTTTCTGAATTAGTAAAGAGCCTAAATAAGAGGGTGTTTTGGAAAAAAAAATGTAATATGGTAGAGATACATCAAAGCACGTTTAATTAATATGCTTGGCAAAAAAGGGAAGAAATTTATAGCACCTATGATCCTGCCCGAATTACAGTCACTGAATGTAAGCGTTGGAGGGAATCTGAGGTGACGGTGAATCCACTGCTCCCTCAGCCAGCTGGTTTTCACATCCCTTGTGGATCCTAAGTGTCACAGCTCACTGCAGTGAGTATAATACTCGTGTTTAAGATGTGTATTTTCCCTGCAACATGGCTTGTAAAGGAGAGCCGATTGCACTTGGAGTTCAACCAAAGGAAGAGGAACCTGCCCCGATATTGGAGGAAGAACAGAGCAACATGATGATGGACCTCCTCCTATGTTGTACTGTATGTGCGATCAAAAGCTTTGTCAATGTCTTGACTGCAGTGTTTGCCTTGTGAACTCTTTTTAGAACCTAATGTCTACATGGGTGCAGCCTAGTCCTATTTCTTTCAGAAATGTACAAGGATTCAAACTAGAGTGGTGAAGGGTTACCAGATTATGTGGCACCACTTTCACCTTAATAACTGGCTAATGATCTCTCATTTGCTTATGATTTATGAATTCTGTAATCACATCAAGACACCTTCCAATAACACGCTAGCTCCTACTATTTTTCACCTGTAGAATGTGTATATAAATAGATGTTTAAACACCATTTGTTAAGTGTAGTAATTACGTGAAAATAATTACTTCAAGAATATGGAAGTTTTGTTGGAATTGCTTTTTCTACATGGGAAGACTGTGTCTCTTTTACAAAAGGTCTTTTTTTTCCTACTATTTTTTTCCCCTGTCTTTGAAATTCGTATTGGTAATTCATAGAGGGAGGAAGTTATTCCTCAAAACAAGCCTGTCAGTGTTTCAATATCACATCAATGCTAGATTATCAAAGAAAAACTTAATTTTAGAAATAGATCAATTTTAACATTAATAATAAAAGATCTAATGCTGTAGGGTTTTAGTGATCCGAAGAAAATTGGTATTATCTAATATAAAATCAAAGAATCCAGTTTGTTATTTGATTTCACACATTTCAAGTTTTATTGGTTTTTCTGACATTTTTAGGGGAAAATTTTTTTCTAATGGCTGAAAAGGAACATTATATAATAGACACAGAAGCACAATTGCTAAATGATTATTATGACAAAATATTTTCATTTTTCATCACACTAGATTTTTGATGGGAAACTTTTCAACACAAAGAATGATTCTACCCCACCAAGGCCAAGCATGGTGTTTACTGCAAATTTTCCTAAAAATAAATCTTGTGGGTTAATTGTAGAAATGCAGTGGAATATGTCAATTTTTCAGAGGATGACTAGGTTCAGGATAAAATTCACTGATATTTTTCAATATATAATATGGTTTTTCAGCCAAGGTATAAAGGGGAATCTTCTCCCCATTCCCCCATCCTCTACAGCAAGGGTTTTGGAAATGTTGAGTGTGTAGTTGGTGTTTTTGAAATCCTGTCACAAAAACTTTTCTGGAAGTGTTTACCATTGGACTCCATTCTAAGCACTATGACATCGGGCACTGTCTAAATCCTTTAGCATGCAAAGATTTCACAAAATAGGGAAAGGAGAAAACAGCATTCATTTTATTGAACAAAATATTGGGGGCAGAATTATATAAGGTAATCAGCAACACCATGGTCAATGCTGGGATGGGGTGGGATCAAGAGATCACATTAATAAATTAGTATGCATTGAGCTGGCCATGGCTAAGCTAATAGCATTTTGAGGATACAAAAACCTCTTTGAGGAAACAAGCCGTAACAGACTCTTAACAGAGAACAGACTGAGGGTTGATAGGAGGTGGGGGATGGGCTAGATGGGTGATGGGATTAAGGAGGGCACTTGTTATGATGAGCACTGGATGTTGTCTGTGAGTGATGAATCACTGAATTTTACTCCAGAAGCCAATATTGTACTGTATATTAACTACCTACAATTTAAATTTAAAAAATAAAAGAAACCTCTTTGAGTTGATTTGAAGTTTTCATAGGGTGGAGAATGCAGACCACAGAAGGAAGGATAGCAGCTAAAGAATGTCTCATGCACTCTCTCTGGAGCATGGTTACTTTAATGGGGAATAATGAAACTGTGGAAGAAGTCTGAATGACACCATCGAGCGTGTATGTGTGATTTGGGAAGCAATGCCACCCAATGTCATATATTTCTTACTCTTCCCCAAGGTTAATGTTGCTGAAAGGACGTGCTGCTGTTTATTCTGCAAGTGCATTGGAGGGGATGGCATAATGGGGGATCCTGGACCACCGGGGAAAAAGGTGATTTTAGTTAAGATTTATGGCTCACCTTATTTGAATGTAGTATGTCTTTCAGACATAGGGTTAGGTGGAAATAAAGGATGATTTTAACTTCTAGATAGAGCCTTTGAGGTAACCACTTACTCTCCATGACAACTAGATACGCCTGGCTTTCCCTTGGCATTCTAAATTGGAGTCTTCTAAAAAACTTTCAATATAAGTGTCAGGAGGGACAACTGCCAAGATCCTTGATTATCTAGTGTTCCAGCAGGGATGACAACGACACCCAGAAATCAACGGTGATCTCTGTGTTGAATAATGAAAACCTCCTGAATATCAGTGTCCTTTCAATTCCCATTTTTAATGACTGCAGAGTCATTTAAATGAAGTAGGGTATGTTTTGGGTAGTCTGCTGACAAGCAAATTAGGTCAGCTCACCCTGTCCTCACAGAAGATGTGGCAACGTTTCAGTCAGCTTTAGCCAGACCAAAAATATCACAGATGTATGCACAAAAATGCCAATCATAAAACAGTAGCCAAAAGTAGATTTATGTATTTCCTAACCAAAAAAAAATTATGTACTCTTATAAAAAAAAATATGATTTGGGAGCATGCTAAAATATGCTAAGTGCTAAAATATGTACAAACATACTATGGATGTGTTTAATAATTTCAATACTGCTTGTTTACATGTGTGTTTGATTTGTGAATAATTTGTAGATAGCACCATAACTCCCAAATCAACATGTTTGTGTCTCTGAAGAAAATTTTCGGACTATTTCCTGAATGCTTCAACTTTATGGAAGGAGAATGGTAGATTTAAAAAAAAAAAAGCCGGGCTCAGAAAGAATGAAAAGAAATGTGTGTGGTCTATTTTTCTATGTGTAGCATAAATCCTAAAAGAGATTTTTTTTAAGAAAAGAGGGTAATTCTAGTCTGTCAAGGGCAAATATAGCTGTGTTCACTTGAAGGTTTGAGAAAAAATATTCCAGCACTATATATAACCCCAGAGAGGGTTATGGACAGCATTATGATCCACACATGCACACACCCTTGAGTTATCTGGATACTTGTTTCAAAACTACATTTATTTTTATGTGTATAAATACAGCCTAGGTTGTGGGGGGAGGATTATTTTTTTTTTCAAACTCCTGTAATTCTACATAAAGTAAAACTATAGTTAAAGATTTTTGCTTGATGACCTTTGGTTTTGGTCTGTGGAGTTCTAATGCATTCTTTGTTTCCTTATTTCCAGGGATCCCCAGGTTTTAAAGGCAGTGAGGGCTATCTGGGAGAGGAAGGTGCTGCTGTAAGTCAAGGTTTATTTCACCTCTATTTATTCCTGAGAACATATCTGCAAAAGGAAATCGTTTGTGTCAATTCAGAAGGAAACAAGAAAAGTCAGAGTCTAAGAATTCATGTACAAAATCTGAGGTCTTTTCTAATTCTCACCGGGCTTTGCTTCTGGTGGTCAATAATGGTTTATTAACCTATTGTCTCCTCTTTGGCTGTTCACCAACGCTGCACAATGAACTTAATGCGAAAGTTATTTTTTTCACCAGGGGACTCAAATCACTGCCATTTCCCCCTTCCTGATCCATTTTGCACAGGTAAACCAACTCCCCACATTATTTATCAAGGACCTCCACTCTTTCTCACGTCCATCCACCCATCCATTCATCCAGCCATCCATCCATCCAACCATCCTTCTTCCTTTCTTCCTTCCATCCGTGCATTCCTTTAACAATTATATATTGAGCATCTTACCATTTACCATAATAAGTGAACTTCTCCACTCATGTATTCATCTAACAAATATATATTAAGGCATTCTACCATGTTTCAGGCACAGTGTCTAGACCCTAGAAATAAAAAATAAGGAAAAGAAAAAATATGATTCTTAGGTAACTTCAGACAAGTGGAAAGGCAAATGAGACAACCATGTTTCCAGCTGCTAAACACAACGACTCTTCCAATGTTACAATGAGGTGCATTGTGGCAAAGCATAGCAGAGCAAATACCTAACCACCTTGGTAGTAGTTAAGGCTTGGGAGGGGAAGGCTGCAAACAAGGGGTAATGCTTGAGCAGACATCTGAAGGACAAACAGATATTTCTTCAGGCAAAGTTTGTGGGGGAGAACATATTACTAGAGAGAGAACAATGTGTTCAAAGGTATGTGATTGAGTCAGAGAATTTGTGTGCGTGTGTGTGTGTGTGTGTGTGTGTAGAATGGCACATAGCCAACATGGTTGGAACCCAGGACACAGTGAGGAGGTTACGTGGCAAGCAAGACCCAGAGTAATTGGGAATCTTGAATATCCTACAGAAGATTTGGTGTCTTCCAGTTGATGGGCAGTCATTGGATGATATTAAGCACAGGAGTAAAAATAATGGGGGCATGGATTTAGAAAGCATACTCAGGCAATGTATGGATGCTAACAAGGCAGGGGTTACAGGTAGAAGCCTTGCAGTAGTAGGTGTAGGACAAAGCAGTCCTAATCTTAGTTGGGGGCAGTATAAGGGGGGTATGTTAAAGAGGATGAATGTAAGTAATTGTGACCTGGGGAGAGAGAAGCAGAGGATGATCTCTTTGTTACCAGATCACAAGACTACACAGACTAGTGGGGTAACCAAGACAAGGATTGTAGGAATGATATTTGGTTAAAGAAAGAGAAGGAATATGGATTTTGGATTGGAAATCATGCTTAGATTTTAGTTAGATCATACCTAGAGCATCCTTCTCTGGTGCCTCACCAATTCTTCATTATCTATTCCTGGAATCGCTGCTGAAATTTTGAGAATAATTTTAGCTGCCACTTGTTTGTATGTCTGTTTTATTTAGATACCACCCTACCTAGGGCAGTATCCAGGTGGGATCCAAAGCAAAGGGTTGTCATCAGAGTAGTTCTGATTTACTTCCATTCTCAGGTTTAATAAGCATGAATTCTGGATTGTAAACCATGAGCAGTTACACATTTTTTTCCAATACAAAACTTGTAAAATTTCTAAGAATCCAGAGTACAATGGAAAAGGCTCATCTAGGTATGTTCTCTTTCTCAGGGAGACAGAGGAACCAGTGGACCAGTGGGAGAGCAAGGTACTAAGGGATGCCATGGTGCCAAAGGTCCTAAGGTAAGGGTTGCATTAGGCATTGATAAGTCTTTCCAACATTAATTCCACTTTCTCACACTAACCACTACTGTCCTTTCTATTTTCAGGGAAACAGGGGACTAAATGGACAGGAGGTATGGTACCAATGGTATCCATTTATCTGCCCATCTCTTATCTAGAAATATTTTCATTTTTTGAAACTACTAAACAGTAGATCATACAAAGGAAGTTTCTCTGGATCTTCCTTTATTACCAGCCATTTGATTTTGCTTATTCTTGTTTTTTATTGCAGGCAATGTGTATTATTTGTTCACAGTTTCTATTACTCGGTAATCTTTGTTATTACTCAGGACTAGGCTGTATATGAAAGACAAAACTAGACTTTTGTTTGGGGTCTGACTTCTTTCCACCTAAATGTGTAATACACTCTATTCTGATCACATCTGTCTTTTCAGGGAGAAGTTGGAGGAAGTGGAATTGGCGGATTAAATGGAGAACAGGTAGAGCCTTCTCTTTGTCCCAAAAAGGCCCTTCTGAACTATCTCATCAAGAAAATGGAAATTTGAGTTTATTCTTCTGTTTTTTAGGGTGAGAGTGGTTTTCCCGGAGAAAAAGGAGAAAAGGGTGATGAAGGATCCCAGGTAGGGATTCAATAAAGAGACAACATGAAAAATGTCCTGGCAATTAGAGGTGTGACTAACAGTAAAACAGCTACCCTAAATGTATCAGTCAGTGAGCACCACAAAATTGCTTTGTGACAATCACAAAACCTCAACTGCATGCAACAATAAACATTTATTTCCTATGTGTCTGAGGTTTGTAGCCCAGATCCCTGGTCTAGGCTAAGCATGGCTGATCTTGGCTCAGGTGTCTGTAGGTTGGCTGACAGCCTTATTCCACATGTCTCTTATCTTCCTCCTAGGACCAGGAAGCATTGTCTGGCTTTGTTTTCCGTCACCTTTTCATGGCCATGGCAGATGCACAAGGGAGCAAGTAGAAACACACAGGTTCTCTCAAGGTCTCTTAAGGCCTAGACTTGGAGCTCTCACAGCAACACTTCCATCTCTTTCTGTCGGCCAGATTCAGTCATGGCCAAACTCGGGACAACTGGAAAGCATTACAGAGTCACATGGCAAAGGGCATAGATACAGAAGTAAAGAATTAGGGCCATTAATGAAAAGCAGCTACCACACTAAGAATGGCAGCAAGGTGTTAACAAGAGTCTGTAGGGTGGGGCAGCACACCGCAAGTGTATGCCACTCATTCCCATTTAGAACAGACACCAACAGCAGCCATACTTCCATCATCCACTTTGTCTGTCTTTGGGGTGTGAACAGCTGAGTCAGAAACCCAGTTTCTAGCTGATACAACCACCTTGGACAAAATGGATAATGTCTCTGAATCTCAGCTGCTTCATTAAAAGAAATCTACAAACAATACCTGGTTTATAAAGTAGCTGTAAAAACTAAGACAACAAATGTGTCTGGAACACGGACTTCCTCCCTGTGGTAAATAATTGAGATCACTCTTAAATTATTTACGTGATGCCTGAAACTATTTTTTGGTTGTCCATCTGTCCAGCTTAAAAATAACTCTAGGGGCACCTGGGTGGCTCAGATGGTTAAGCGTCTGCCTTCGGCTCAGGTCATGATCCCAGGGTCCTGGGATCGAGCCCCACGTCAGGCTCCCTGTTCTGCAGGAAGCCTGCTTCCCCCTCTCCCACTCCCCATGCTTGTGTTCTCTCTCTGGTTGTCTCTCTCTCTCTCTCTGTCAAATAAATAAAATCTTAAAAAAATAATAACTCTAGTAGAAAAATTTTAATTATTCAAATGAGGGAGAAGATAAGCTCTTTGTTTTTACTAATGTTATTAATTCTTTTCTTATCCTTCTTCTGATTTGTATTATCTTTAGGGAAGCCCAGGAAAGCGAGGGGTTTCTGGTGACCAAGGTGCAAAGGGCCAGCGAGGAGACCCTGTAAGTGCTGTCACTGCGTGGGCTGTGAGCTAAACAGGGCTTGGTTGCCATCAGCTTCTGATAAGAAGAGAGCCCCACTTTACATTACTACAATAGAAATCCTGAGTTTAGATCATCACAAGCACAACTGCTGTGGAATTTTAAAAGCATTTCCCTTGTGCTAGATCCTCTTCATCAATGGAATGAGCATGGACAGTGAGAAGATCTTGTCCAACATTGGTGCATTTGTTTTTTGAGAATACATATTCAGAATTGTTACTGTGCTTCAGAGCCATGAAGGAATTCTAGTCCCTTCCATTCTCTTCTTCTGAGTACCTCAAAATATGGATAGGGTGGAAGAAACAAAGCCATCTCTTCCATTCCCCAAGAGCCTTTATCAGTTAAGAATATGAACTTAATTTTCGTGAATCCAAGCCAGCTAGGACCGTTTCAGGCAAAACCTATGACACAAAAGTGCCTGCTCTCCTGGATATAACCTGACGAAATAGGCATGACCCACACCAGTGTAGGGGATATGCCAAGTCCAGTGAAACATCAGTACTATAGGACTTCCATCACCCCACCCACACAAAAGTAAGTCTCCAAAATCTTAACGAATTAGGATTTAGGTTTGTTTATTAAACTTTTCTACTGAGATATAATTGACATAGAACATGGTGTAAATTTAAGTTGTTATAAGATACTGATTTGGTAACATTTATATACTGCAATATGATTACCACCATAGGGTTAGCTAACTCCTGTATCGTGTCACAGAATTATCATTTCTTTTTTTGTGATGAGACCATTTAAGGTCTAGTCTCTTAGCAACTTTGAAGCATATGATACAGTATTGTCTATAATCACTATGCTGGGCATTATTCTAGAACTTAGTTTTGAACTGTAACATCAGAAAAGTACACATGTTACGAATGCACAGCTTGATGAATGTAAATGTGCCTGTGTAATCACCACCCAGGTAAAGAAATGGGACATCCCAGAAATTGCCCCCCATGTCTAATTCAATCACTACCAGCCTCTCCCAAAGGTAATCACTGTCCTAAAACCATAAATTAGTTTTACCAATATCCCTGAACTTTAAGTAAGTAGAATCATATAGGATACACTCTTCTGTTTCTGGCTTCTTTTGCTCAAGTTTATGCTTGTGAGATTCATCCACATAGTTGTCGGTGACAATAGTTCATTCAGTCTCATTAAGCTTAAGCCTTTTAAGCCAGTTTTCAAAAAACTCTGTACTAATTTACACTTCCACCAGCAAAATACCATAGCAGTGTACTACATACACACATCAGAATGGCTAATTTTTAAAAAAAAACTGACAATAACAAGTGCCGATAAGGATGTGGGGCAACTGGGAAACTCACAGGACTTTGTATATTGGAGGAGGAGTTATCAATGGATTGATCAGAGAAAGAATTTAGTGCAATATATTGAGAAATATAAATGTTAGGTATACATCGAAGATAACTATTTTAAAAGCAGAGGAATTTGCTCTTGAAGACTACATTGTTTAATAAGTGATGTTTTCTGATAATAGTCTGATGACCTGAGAGTTTTGAAACAACTTCTAAGTATCTAGTTAGAAATAAAAAAGTATCCATAAATAAAAATAATAAATAGTAGTTCAAAGACCTTTCAGTCATCTATATATGAAGGCCAAAAATTTCCTTGGGATATTGCTATAAAATTGCCATGTACTTTGGTCAGAATCCCCCCTAATTGTCTGCCAAATTGTCTGTATGATTACTTAACACTTCCAGAAGAATCTGAATAATGTAAGACGGTTTTTTTTTTTTAAGGTTCTATGACTTCGAGATGGCTGAAAATTCAACCCACTAGAACTTCTGTGATGTGCTGTTTGTCACGATACTAATTTTAGTTTTTTAATGCATGATGATTCTTCCCACCCTCTTGGGAGTATACATCTCAAATCAAAGACAATTCTCTGAGTCTTTTTACGTGTGGTTTTTATGGGTTACTATTTCAGGAAAAATTGGGGAGAGCAAGATTGATTGAATAAATAGAACCCACACATGATCAGATTATTTGTAGGAATGCATACAAATGGCACAAATTCCTGAAAATCTGTGTTTATTCAGACAGAGCTTCCAATCATGTGATAGCTAGTTTGGCCATTTGGAATTTCCCATTTTTAAAAATCTCATGTAATCTCATGTAATACTGGGGAGAAAACTGAACCAGATCATTTGAGCTACAGAGTGTAGTAAGGTTCATGATTCTAAAACATATCATTATTAGAAGCCCATGTTGAATCATAAATTTGTGTTAGATGTTCTTTTGTCCAGTTGCATAGAAAAAAATTGAAAGACTGGACAGATCATATTCAGACTGACCAAACAACTAGGATATTCTATTCTGTAGAATATGCTAGCGTATGACTTTTTAATGCCATCTCTTCAATTAAATAGTTTGGAGTTGGACCTCGATAAGTTATTTATACATCCAGTGGAATAAGATTTTGGACTTTACATTATTTTCCTTTTCCTTTTTTTGCCAAAATACAATCTCTAATATTGTGATTTAGGTATACCCTGCTTGGAGAACTTAACAGACAAATATTTAAACTTAAAACAGAAATTGTAGAAAATAATCTTTGGCTTTGGTATGTGGGGGGAAAGAACTAAGTTTTCACATAAATTCTGGTAATCTCAGTTATAAAGTAAATTCTAAGAGCATCTTTTTCTCTCTGGTAGCCTATAAACTGTAAGTGTCGAAACTATTTGTTTAAAAATCTTTCTAAGTATTTGGAACAATGACATGTCCCTGTTGGTGATCTCAAATTACTTATTGATTGATGAAGGTAATCTGGGCTGCTATCAGCCAAACAGCCCAGCAGCTGGCACTCAGCAGGACTGGATAATTCTTGTCCCCTCTCAATTTATTGGAGCATTGACTGAACTGACTGGCTCAATTGATTGTCCCAGCATCATGGGCATACTGCTCTATTGGTGGTCCTAACTATCCAAGATAGAAAGCTTTCTGTTTGGACTGCTAAGGATAATGTCCCACAATGAGTTCCTGCTAGAATGTTTGTATGAATATTGGGGGAAACTCAAGATGCCAGAATTTTCTGAAAACTGGAAAAGTAGCAGTGAACATATGGGGCTAGAAGGCTACCAGGCGTCCGAGGGGAGAAAGAGAGAATGGATGGCAGATACAGTCCTCAGTGCTGCTCAGTGTACTTATGTTCTTGTGGTGGAGCCCATTACAAACCGTCTCCCTTCTCCCAAAGGTAGGGGAGAGTAAAAATCTAACAACCTCAAGTATAAACTTGAAAGAAGAGCAAATATTAAGAGAAAGGATGGCAGTAGTAAGAAGGGGTACCTCCAGACCCAGGATGAGAATTGTCATAAACACAAGCCATGTCACCCTTGCTTCTCTTGGCAATGCCTTCTATGGTGAGCTCTTGCTCCCCTCCCCCACATCCCCCCAACACTCACCTTAGGTCCCCACTCTCTTCTGACAATGCAGAACACAGGAGGAAAAGAAATCATGTATAAGCCATTTGTAATTTCTACCTATCTATGGTTTTAAATGGATTGGACCTATTTTGTCAATTTTTTAAGGAGGGAGTGAGTAAATGTGTTATATGCAGTTACATTTTTAAGGAGAGAGATTCAAAATTTTTCTCTTTATTTTGTGTTTTTTAGGGAGTTCCTGGATTTGACAATACCATAGAAGGACCTAAGGGCTTGAAAGGAGAACGTGGAAGACAAGTAATTATGTGGGCATTTGAAAGCAAACTTGTAATGATGTGACATACTTGCTCCAGAAAAAGCATCTTTAGGAGCAAAAATACCTTTTCCTCCTCCTTATCTGCTACTCTAGGGTTCAAAAAACATTCCCTTGTTCTTCTGAATTTGGGGTGACTTGCTTCACCAAGCCCTGCCCTTGAGGTCTTCATTTATGAATGCAAACATCTAATTCCCATCTTAAAATGTAGGGCTAGCTGATGGAAGGAACAAGCCAGTAAATTGTTGGCCTTCCAGGATACAGGAGTCATATACCCTAAGAAGACATTGTATTATTTGTAGTACATGATAAAAAGAAAAAGATCTGGTAGATCTATACAGCTTACATGCTCAAGGCAAATCTCTTAGGATTAATCCCATGAAATCTCACAAACCACAATTTGATCATCTTACCTTGTTTTTCAGAATTTTTAAAAGTGTAATAATCTGGAAAATGTGTTTCTCTGGATCTTCTTGATGAGAAAGTTCCCCTGGTGACTTCCCCTGGGGGAGAGGTCTGATGTGGTAGGAAGAACTTGACTTTGGGGACAGGCCCAGGTCCTGTTTCATGCTCTGTGCCTTACCAGCTCTGTGGCCTTGGGCCACTTTCTGTAAATCTCAATTTTCTCATCTGCAAAATAGGATAAATAGCCTACTTTTAAAGGTTATGGTGGGAATTCAGTGACTGACCTTGCTGCATCATAAACCTTCAGTAAAGGCTACCTGCCATTTTTACTAAGTGGTAAATGTAAGTCTCACATGTCTCATTATAGATTCATAAATTTCCTTCATTTTCTATTTTGGGAAGATGCATGAGTATTGTGAGATTTTATTCACATGCAGGTGTGAATCTACACAGGTTAGCCAAACAGAACAAGAAGTCCAAAGGTAGAAATCCAAACCAGTAGTAGCCGTACCTGACACATGGCATGCTTCATTTATCCACTCTGCGGCAACACAGTGGGAGATAGTTTGATTCAGATACTCTATAACTGATACCCAAAGACAAGTTAGACAGTGGTGATGAACAGATGAAGCCATGTCATTAGCATTTTGTCCTGTAGTCCCTCATTTCCTGCATAGACATATGGTTTATAAACAGTAGAAGTAATCCACATCCAAAGGGAGGATAACTCCCTAGCTGGTGTGTATCCATCCACCCTCCCTGCAGCACAAGCAGATGTTGAAGAGGAAATATGTCAGTGCTGTGTAATTACTGTCACCTGTCTGTCTTTTCACTTGACAGGGTGGAAGAGGCTGGCCAGGCCCCCCTGGAACACCAGGCTCCAGAAGAAAGACAGTAAGAGCCCTTCTAGACAAGGAGACCCACTGCTCTGGTAGCCTATATTGTGATAAAAATGGCCGATTGTGGGGAGTGAGCGGGATGGTTCTGCTGGGGCTCAAGACCGTGGGGACACTTGGGATAGCTTCTGAGAACACAGCTGGCGAAGCGCTTGTGGAAAGCCCCTGAAAAGATGAGGCAGGAAGGTGCTGGTTGCAAGGAAAATTACCGATCAGGAGAAAAGGCTGGGCAAAGAGAACAAAAAAGCAGCCAACTAGGGGAAGAGTGCTGAAAGTTTGGCCTTCTCACTATGCTAACTGCCATTGCCAGTGATGTCATTTTAAGTCCCAAACTCCATTCCTCTGCCAATTTTATGACTACTTAGGAAAGTCAGTCCTGGTGTAAGTCCTCTGTTCTTACTTCTATATTCTCTGCCTTGCAAAGAAGGTGTGTGTTCCAAGACACAAAAACATTTTCTTTGTGTGGAGTATAATAGCTGATTCTGTGAACTTCTCAGACAATACAATGCATAATAAATACAGTATACTAAACTGGTTTCTATTTGTGCTCAATTTTAAAGCATATATGTATAGTACTAATTGAGATTTAGTCGATGTATAACATTAGTTTCGGGTGTATAACATGATTTGTATATGTGGTTGTGAAATAATCACCACAATAAATCTAGTTAACACTCATCACCACGTGTAATTACAAATTTTTCCTTGTACTGAAAACTTTTAAGATCTACTTTCTTAGCAACTTTCAAATATACGAAACAGTATTATTAGCAATAGTCCCCATGCTGTACATTACATCCCTATGATTTATTTTGTGACTGGAAGTTTGTACCTTTTGACCCATTTTACCCATTTTATCCACCACCCCCCCAACTCCTTACTTCTGGCAACTACCAAAAGTTCTCTGTGTCTAGGAGTCAAGTTTCTGGAGTTATTTTTTTGTTTTTTGTTTTTGTATTTTTGAGATTCTACATATTAGCAAGACCATATAGTATTTGTCTATCTCTGACTTATTTCATTTAGTACAATACCTTCAGGGTCCATCCATGTTGTCACAAATGACAGGATCTCCTTTTTTTGTCTGAATAATATTCTGTTATATTTATACATATATATACACATTTTGTTATATATATATATCACATCACATATTCCTTATCCATTCATCCATCAGTGGTTGCTTAGGTTGCTTCCGTGTCTTGGCTATTGTGTAAGTAATGCTGCAATGAACACAGGGGTGTGGATATCTTTTTTATTAGTGTTTGCATTTCCTTTAGATATATATACCCAAAAGTGGAATTGCTGGATCATAAGGTAGCTCTATGTTTAATTTTTTGAGGAACCTCCATACTGTGGAGATACTAAGAATGAAATTGGGTCACTTGCTTATGCAACCTTTTGGGGTCTTTCTTATTTAGTTTTGTCGTATTTTTTCAACAAGCACTTTTTGAAAAAGGTTCTGTGCCTGACTACTTGGAAGAGCACAGAAATTATAAAAGAAAATTTTTATCTAATAAAAAGAGATAACTCTAATAAAATACACTTAAATGCTTGCATCAGGTTCTAAATTAGACCTTTTTTCATTTTGCAGCATTTCCTTTCCATTCTTAGTTATCTACTTTCTCCAACTTCCTCCACCTCCCTCCTCAATTCTTTGTGCTATTTATTGAGCACAGATAAAAACTAGTTTGATATATTACATTTATTATGCATCGTATTTTCTGAGCAGAAGTTCATAGAACCAGCTCTTATACTTCATCAAGAAGATATTTTTGTAGCTTGGAACTCCTCTTCTTTGCTAGGCAAAGAAAATGGAAATGAAAACAGAAGTTACATTTAAAATGTGCAGAATTTAGTTGCTGGGAAAGCACTTTACTACTGCTGCTGTGTTAATGCACCTAAAGATAAAGCAATACATTTGCTATTCATTTCACTTTCTAAAAGGGTGTAGCCAGCTTACATACCCTGGGAAAATATTTTGAACTTAAAGAATATCATCCAAGATTTCCTGGCATGGGAGATGTACTTTTATTGTTTTATAGAGGCTGTAGTCTCTCTAGAGGCTAACACAGCATCACCATGTATTATTTAAACTGCACAACTCCTGAGAAATATGTCCCCATTTGGGTTATAGATTCAGCAGTGTCATTCAGGAGTAAAAGTGGGACTTCCAGCTAAAGATGGCAAAGTCAATGTGGTTTTTTTTACTATTCCTTTTAAATGTGCAACTTACCAATAACAACACAAGAAATTAAGAAGAGATTAACAAAGAATGACCACAACTTCAAGCCACATGTGATGGCAAATATTGGCCAGTTCTTTTAAAATCTAGATCTTAATGAAGGGAGACTTTGGAAAGCTTATACTTATACCTCAGACCTCAAGCAGGGATCAGATTTCTCTAAAAGTAGCTTTCAGGTTTTGAGAAGATCAGAGAATATACCCATAGAAACAGAGTGGCTGAGGAGGCAGAAATCATGGAAAACTAAAGAATATTTCATTTTTAATATCTACAACCAGCAGTCTGGTCCATGGAGGCTGCAAATATCGAAGAAACAGTGACTATTGCAAAACTATGATTTAAGGGGCTTTATGTGAGTTCCATAAATCTCTTAAATGCCCAAATTTGAAGGGAGAGGTAGCATGAGGTAAAAGAAATACTTCATGATGAGAAAGGGTTTGAGACAACATATCTATATCAAAGCTACTGACCTAGGTCCAGCTACACCACATACAGTTATTCAGTAAATAGGTGGCCCTCTTCAAAAGTGATTAATAACCAGAAATATTATTAATCTTCATTATTAAATGATTAAGACTTATGCATAGAAAGAAGAGGAAAATGACATGAGCAAAGGGCAAATAAACCCTTATTGGGAGAGGAATTATTCAAGGAAAAGACAGAATGACTCTGGCAAATAGTTCTCTAAAGTCTCGAAAAAACTAAGGCAATGTAATTGCTCTAAAAAGAGTCTAAAGAACTGACAAGATGATAGAAAGTGAAGAAAGCAAGCTGGTAGTGTTTGGGGGTGATGAACATGCAAGATAGGTTAAGAGCAACAAAAAAATTAGAATAAGACTGAAAATATAGTTGGGCATATAGTAATCAAGAAACCACAAAAGCAATGATAGAGGTGGACAATGGAGAGCCAACAACTGTACAATTTGTATTACTAAGTTAAACAGACTAATGTAGAAAATATTCAGAAGTATAATAAAAGAGAATTTCTTATAAAAAGGCTCAAATGTGCAGGTAGAAAAGGCATATTCTGACTCAGAAAAAAAATTGATACAAAAACTTTAACACTGAGCTACATCCTAGTGAAATTACCAAACTTATTATGTAAAGGAAGGATCTCCAAGAATTTCCAAGCAGAAAAGATAGAAAACCCAGTTTGTCTTCAGCCATTTTCACAACAATCAGGGCCAAAAGGGAGAGCAGTAGAACAGGTAGAGTTCTGAAGGAAATCCAGGGGTTCAAGATTTTCATACCCACCTGAGTTGTCCTTTGTACATATGAATAATTAATATGATAAAGCCTTCGAAAATTCAGGCAATACAGCCCCCATTTATCTTGTTCTTCTATTAAATTCAAGTAAAATTAAATGTAATATTTTAATTTTAAAATAGCATAAATACCATCATCCTTTCTTAATCAAAAGTACTATTATTTAGGGATGCCTGGGTGGCTCAGATGGTTGGGCATCTGCCTTCGGCTCGGGTCATGATCTCCAGGTCCTGGGATCGAGCCCCATGTCAGGCTTCCAGCTTGGCTGGGAGTCTGCATCTGCCTCTCCCCCTGCCTGTGCTCTCTCTGTCTCTCTCTCTCAAATAAATAAATAAAATCTTTAAAAAAAAAAGTACTATTATTTAGAACTCTATCTGTAAACATGCATAAGAAGATGTTGGGAATCATGATTACCAAATGTTAACAATAGTTTCATTTATGTAGGATTTGGGATGGCTTCAATTTTTGGGGGGGGAATGACTTAAATTTTTATTCTGTTTTTTCCTGCATTTGAATATTTAAAAATCAGCATGTATCATATTTTAATAACAGTAAAGTCATTGTCCTTTCAGAGGAAGAAAAATTTATACCACTAACTGAAAAACTCTAAAATATAGATAGATAATAAGTATTGAGAACTCTTTGGTGCAGTAAGATTCTGCTGAACTAAAAAGTGATTGGAGGATGCTGGTAGGATGTGGCATGCAGGGAAATAACAGCAGTTGACCAAATCTGACCTTGATTCATTTGACAAACATTTATTGAACACCTACAGTGTATCAGCAACTCTACTACTAGAGCTACAAAATCAAATAAGACCTAGTCCTTACTCTCAAGGCACCTAGAATCATATTACAGATTCAAGGGATGGTGTCTCAACCTATTATTGACATTGGATCAGATAATTCTTTGTTGGGGGAAGTTGTTTTGTGCATTGTAGGATGTTTAGTATTATCCCTGGCCTCTACCCACTAGGTGCTAGCAACACCCCCAACTTGTGACAACGAAAACCATATCCAGACATTGCCAAATGTTGCCAGAGAAGGGGGGTTGCTAAATCCCCCTCTTGCAGTTTGAAACCACTATTGTAGAGGAGGATGGAACTGTAGGGATAACAAGCTGTAATTGGTGCTCTACCAGCAGTCTTTAATGGGTTGGATTGGGATGGTGGAGGGAGTAGGATCAGGACCAGAAAGCCACAGCACTGGGGCAGGAGGTGGGGATGGGAGATTGGTTCTTTCTGAGCCAAACTTCACTGAGAATTAGAACAGATTCTTGTGCCATGGATCATGAGAAGCAACTGTAGCCTCATACTAAAACATGGCCTTCAGTCCTATTCAGTCTAGACGGCTGTTAGTTTGCTTTTCCCTTTTCAACTCTCTTGGCACTACTTTAAGGGGCAGCTTGAAGTACCCCCAGGCAGGCAGTCAGTCATCACTGTGAATGAGTGTTTGCCATTAAGATTCAGTATTAATGTGATGTTTTACCATTAAGAATGTCCTATTTTTTTCCCTGGGGATTGTGTCTCAAATCAGTCCATACCTATCTGGAAAAGTGGGTCCTGG